TGTGTGTTTGTGTGTGTTTGTGTGTGTGTGTTTGTGTGTGTTTGTGTGTGTGTTTGTGTGTGTGTTTGTGTGTGTGTGTGTGTTTGTGTGTGTGTTTGTGTGTGTGTTTGTGTGTGTGTGTGTTTGTGTGTGTGTGTGTTTGTGTTTGTGTGTGTGTGTGACAGAAAGGGTTTTCCCCATTTTTTTTTAAGCACAACAATCTCTAAGGAACACTTTTTGGGACAGGTTGAGCTCTGGGAGCGTCTGTTCCCTTTCCTGCAGATTGCTGGCAATACTTGGCCCATAGGAATAGGAAAAGACACCAGGTTGGATTTCAAACTATGTTTTAACCTGCCTTTATTGCTTTTAATGCCATCTGTGTCAGTGATGGAGGTGAGCTTGCAGAACTAGTTCAGGAAAAAGGAGGAAAACTATTCCCAAAGGAACATTGGATATTGCTGCACTACTCGATATTCCAGTGCTGCAAAGAAGTTTCTTCCATTTGCTTTTCTTGCAAGAATTGATATAAAATCCTTGTAATGAGCATTGCTGACTGCAGGAGAGCTCCCCAGGGTGTTTTCTTCCCTGCAAAGAGAGGCTTAGGCTGCACTGCTGTTGTGCTTGGATTTATTTCCTATAGTCTAAGGCAGACCTGGGTCTGTGTTTTACTTTCATGGGGGCTTGCAGAGCTCTGAGAGGGATAACAAGCAGAAAACAACAGCAGAGTCCGCAGACGGAGCCTTGCAGGCTGCTTTGGGAAGAGCCACGCACGCTCATTGCGGCCAATGCCATCATGCAGCAGCCTCAAAGCAAAGCATTCCAAGGAGATGTGCAGGTGGGAGCTGCCTTTCATCTTCCTGAGAGAGAGAATGAAAGAGGTGTGCGAGCACAGCGCCTTCCTCCCTCTGAGTCTTACTTTGAGTTTGGAGCTGTTTGGGTTTGAGCGCGAACCACCATCGCTTTGAAATTCAAATGCTGGCTTTTGAACTCCCCCTCTCCCACCTGTGCTCAGCAAACCACCAAAAAGAGACAGAGGAAGAGCAGCACAGAGCTGCAGTTCATCACTGGCAGCAAAGTGGGGCTTCTGACTCATCGTGGCCTCCAACCCCGCATCCCTGCTGCAGAGCTCAGCACAAATGAGTAATACAAATGGATAAGTATTATTTCTTAAGGACAATTCATTCTGATACCTGCCATCTCACAGGCAGACAAAACAAGCCGATCTTGGCAGGTAAACCCACCTATAATCATGGTATGTAAAATATTATCATCTCATGCTTCTACACACAACTGTTTGGGAAAGGACCCCCATTCCCTGCTGTTTTTACTGTATGATACCAGTTTAAGTGTGTGCAGGTATTCAGCACAGGTTGAAAGCATTGCTTGTCAGAGGGTGAACACCAAATTTCAGTCCTAAGGAGCATGGTGTGGTTTTCCCTGAGCTCAACCAGCTGCGTGCCAGCTAACCTGCAAGCAGACGAGGCTTTGGCACAGCAAATGGCAAGGGTAAGAAAGAAGTGGTAACAGGATGCTCTGAGCTTGTGTTTTGACTGCGAAATACACCAAGCCTGGGTGCAATCCTTCCATGCTGGCTACACGTTTTCATCGTCCCACGGTGAACCAGGCTGCTCAGGTCCTGAAAAGCCCCATAGGAGCTCCCCCATCCTTTATGAGAACAGCGCCAGCAGCTCAGCCGTGTTTTATGGAACCCAAGGGCTGTCGAGCTGCCAGAATGCTGCCATTTCTCGTCTCTTGAAAGCAGTTATGCTTCTGCATTGCTTCTCCCTGCTCCTGCCCTTGGTGTGAGGGGATGGTGCCTTTCAATCACTGATAGCACTGCTGGTTCCTGGATTTCAAATGCTGTGCTAACACAAGAGCTCACAGCAGTGAGATTCTTACAAACCTCCTTTTCTTGCTGGAATAGAAAATGTGCAAAGACTTTTCAGCAACACCAGAAGTGGCCACAACTTCTGAATACAGAGGGAGACTCTAAGATGAGCATCTCCCACAGACAACCTGAATAAAAAGTCAAGTGAAGAGGTTAATGGGAAAATACCATAAGCAGGGGCTGAGATCATGCGAGAAGTGCCTGATCCTCGCTTGTTTGGAGACATAGAAACCTTCCTGCAAAGAGATCTTGTCCCCACTCCTTGCCAAGGCGCACTGAGGGTGGCTCCAACCTGTCTTTCTGGTGGCTCGTGGCAGCGTCCATTTATCTTCCGCTCAGAGAAGACCAAATTACAGCATCCTGCCAGAGAGGCTGGAGCCGAGCTTTAGAAAGATAAAGATCTTCCCTGAGATCTCTTAAGCCTCGAGATCTTCAGAGGGCTCCCGGTCTTACTGATGCATTTGGTTCAGTAATGATGGCTGCAGGAGTCAGAGGTGAGTATTTACAGAGAGGGGAACAGGGAGGGCACCATCAGCCTTCAATTTCAGCTACATCAAAGGAGCTTCTTGGGCTCCTTCAAAGCTAGAGATAAAATTCACATATCTGTGATGCTCCAATCCATTACTAGCATTAATCAGAATGCAGCTGTGGTGGCAAAGCCTGGCTCCTTTCCCCACAACGAAGCTCTGAGCGTGCAATTTCACTGCCATTTCTTCCTCTTTCCTCTCCTAGATCTCAAGGTTTCGTTTTTCCCTCACTGTTTTCCCTCAAAACATTCACCAAAAGCTTTGAGCCAAGCATTTCCCCTCTCGCAACAAGACTTGCAATGGACATACCAAATGCATTCCATCAAAACAAACTATATTCCCCAAATTCCCATGAACTGTTTCCTTACCAATGCAGGAAAACAAAGCAATAAATTAGAGCCAGCTATGCTTGTCTGAACTGGGTAATGGCTTCAAGTCTGACCCTTACAGGTTTGTGAGCTGCCTGCTGAATGCACTACTGCATGAAAGAAGGGTTAGCATGGCAGGGTTTTGTCCATAACCCACCACTGGCAATACAACTCAACCACCTGCCTCGATCCTGTGTATAACGTAGGGGCTGTGTCTGGGAGGTCCTGCGTCAGGGACTGATCCCTCCCTGTTTGGATGTTCAGTTCATTTGGAGGGATGCTCCACATCCCTGTGCACTGCAGGGCAGTTGCACCTGATGACCCTTCAAGGTCCTTTCCAACTCTAAGGATTCTATGATTCTATGATCATCGCTCCGAAGCACAGCTACCTCGGGTTTTTTAAGATGGAGGGGAGGAACAATGGGAAATAGGGACAAGGAAGACATTTTAATTTGATACAGTGCATGATCAGCAGAAGTCTCAAAAAAGCTACACAGTGCATGAAATATGAGGCAACAGCAGCCAAGGCACACAATAAGTTTGGTTCAAAAAGAAGTGATAGCTGCAAGGAGAGCAGTTTATCAATCTGAAGGTTGGCCTGAGAACAGGAGACAGATGCTGCCAAGTCGTGGCAGCCTCTAAGCATTAGGTGCCATGCTTAATAGATGCACAGCCACACAATTAAAGAAGCTGCTGCAGAATGGCCAAGCCCCAAAACAGGACTGGGTGCAGATGAGCACTGCTCTTGGGGCAGCTCGCTCACAGTGCTGCCCATGCAAAGCCAGGGACCCTTCTTTCCTCCCAGTTACCAGGAGAAGAGAAATTCTTGGCAGTTTTCCCATCAAGTCAAATGCACGCCTGGCTCAGTGACACATCTCAAAAATAGTTATCTAAGGCAGCCCACCTGGGGGTTGCTGCAGTCTTGAAGAGGCTTTTACACGTCTTAGCTCATTCTTCAGCTGTTCCCCTGCAGTTTGGAATAATGACCAAAGAGCCTTCAGGAATTGGGTGCTGACTTTCTATTAGCTATGGGAAATACAAATATCTCGGTGTCCATAACACAGCATAGAACTGAAGGATGTTTTCATAGCACACACCAGGAGAAGGCGCTTGCCAAAAACAAAAGGGCAACTGGAAGGCAACCGCATGAAGGTTAACATGGGCAGTGGCAAATTCTGCAGCTGGGACGGATACATGTGCAGACTGGGGGATGAGAGGCCTGGGGAAAGGGATCTGTGGGTTCTGGTTGATGGTAAATCGAATCGGAGCCAGCAGTGTGTGCTCCTCCTTCAGCGAGGCACAGAGCGAACCACTCGTTATGCTTCCCATTCACAGCACTGCATGCTTGCAAAACTCCACGAGCCCCCTCCCCCCTTATGCCACCCTTCCTCCAAAGCCAAACCTTTTCTTGGACAAAATCCAAGATGTTCTTGAAGTCAAGGTCGTCATAATAGTGCCGAATGCCCTCCTGAATGTTGGAGTGCAAAACTGCATTCATCTGGGGACAGGAGAAACATGAACACATCTCACACTTGGAACAGACAACAGCAAAATATCACAGACTATGAAAATCATGCAGAGAAATCTTTTCATAGCAAGCTTTGCTGGCCATCACTAGAATGAGAATCTAACTTGCTGTCCCAACCCTTTCGGGGCATAACTCATCATTTTTGATCTCTCATAGCTGCACCCACCATCCTTCACCTACCTGAGTTTTTCTATGTGCTGCACATCCAATAGAATTATTAGGGTGATGACTTCTTGACAGCTGCCTACAGACCTCCAACCTCATCTCTGACGTAGCTTTAACCCCTGGTGGGGGGTGCTCTGCATCTGGAAGATGCAAAACAGCCTCTGATAGCCAACAGCACCGTCAGATGGGCTGCACATGGGAGCAGAGCCCTCATCAGAGCCCACAATCACCACCAATCCCAACAAACCTTCCAGTGATGCAGCCGCGTCCATGGAGCAGCAACGTGGCTCTGCGAGCTGCCTGCATCTCTGAGGGAGCTCTGATGCTTCAAATTAAATGCTAACCAAATGGAAAATGCATTTCACAGATGCATGGGAAGATTATTTGTGAGCTGGGAGCAGAGCCTCCAAATGAGCTATGCCAAGCCTGGCGTGGGTTTGCCACTTTGCTCCTGAAAAAGGGCCAGGCAGAAATGCTAATGGAGGAAAAGGGAACGTTTTCTGAGTTAGAAGTGAGGGATGAGAGGAGAAAAAGAACGTCGTTCTTCATAATTCACTGACATGAAAATTAGGGGTTGGGCGAACTGGGAGCAGGGAGATGAAGATGGGGAAGAGAAGAAAAAAGAAGAAAATGAAGGCATGTCAGAGTGGGAAACAAAGCCTGCCGACAGTGAGGGATCAGGTAGAGGAACTGAAAAAGCCTTTCAGAAACCACTCCTGTGAACACTGATTCAAACATTGCTCCATAGCTTTCCCAACACAACAGGCAAACCTGGGTTCTGCTGCTCCCTGTTCCTTTCCTCCCCACATGGGCTCACCCTTCAATCCCATCATCTTCCCATACGATCCCAGGATGGGGACAGCATCCCAAATGAGATCCCAGCTCCAAGTGCTGGAGATAAGGCTGCAGGGAGGACACCAAATGTGCTATCATCCCCCAAACCATCTGCATATCAACAGAGTGCAATACTCAGTTGTGCAAGATTGTTGTGCTCAGTACTCAGTTGTGCTCAATACTCAGCAGTGCAAGACCACTGTGCTCATTCCTCCTCAGCTCCCCCTACTTATTTAATACAAAACCCAATTAAATTTCCTTGACTAGCTTGACAAGCATTGCTCCAAATGCAGATTTGTGCCTCCTCACAATTTTAGGTCGGGTGGTTCATCACTTGTTGGGTCTCTTTTCTCTCCGCCCCGCTGTTTGATTTCCAAATTACACATTAGATTTAAATTAGGGGATGATTTATGCACTAATGGTTTGATTCATCCCCTGCGTTTTCCTGCAAAGCTGTGATCCCCTCTCCTGCTGCACAGGGCGGTGCTGAGCATCAGTACAGGGGAACAAGGGTGGAGAGAAGGAGCAAAGTCAGCGATTTTGTGCCATTTTCGATGAAAATAGAGCCAGCATGTGCCATGCCAGCACATATTGATTTCCTTTACATGGGAAGGACTCAAGTGCTCTGATTTTCCTTATAGAGTCACATCTCCCCACTGGTGCCCTGACAGCTCCCCAGGATTGGAGGTTTTTGGAGAGCTGCTGGACAGAGCTGGCTGCAGCATCCATTCTCCTCCCCTTCCACTTTGGGTCTCACCGAGTGCCTGAATCCCAATCCCAGCCCATCAGCTTTTGAAGGTTTGAAAGCATCAGTTTGTCTCTGCAAAAGTGAATTGCTGTTTAGAGCCCTTACGTACATATTTTGGATGTTGCTCTCCTGGCCTGCACACCCCTCCTTCCAGCCGAGGCTGAGATTTGATATTTAATTGCATGATTGATTACAATAGTAAAATAAAACTGAATACGGTGTGCTTTCTTCAGCAGAAGCTGGGCAGCCAGGAATATTTCCATTGGAAGTCTTGCTGGTTCAGCTATAAGTCAAACCTGTCCTTGCACACAAGTCAGCAGTTAATGTAATTGAGACAGGGAGCTTGATGAGAAGCACAAGAATTTTTGGCTGGGAGTCTGCATGGGAGCTGCTGCTGTGGTAGGAGCAAGGTGCAGCCTGAGGAGAGCAAGAACAACCAACATCTTCCATTCTCAGCTCATAGGCAGACATGAGGTGAGAAGGAAATCTCCCCCCAGCACACATAGGCTGCAGCTTGCCACTGTGCTAAGCCAAGGAGCAGCTCCTCCAGCCTCCTGATGGCACTCACCTTGTTTTCAAAGATGATTTCAATGAATATCAACAGCAGCTCCGTGATGAAGATCACCAGAAGGACCCAAAAGAACTGGAAAGAGACAGAGAAGGATTAGCCCTGCTGCAAGCCAGGCTGCGTCCGCTGCCAGCACTTAGCTGTGATGAGGGAGAGCTGGAAAGCAAGAGATGCTCAGAGACACTTAGAAATCAGATCATTTCATTACGATCTCCCCAGGGAGCTCCAAATCTCCTCCAAAGATATCAGTCCTAAATTTGCTACCCAGTAGAATGAATGGCAGGAAGGAAGGATGGATCAAAAAAGAAACCAAATGTAATTTGGATGGCTAAATTCTGCGTGGGGAAACAGGCAAAATGGATGCAGTGGAGGAAAGTATTTCCTCTGGGTGGATATAGATGTGCAGAGAAATGCCAACACCTATTATGATGGAATGCCAGTCCTTGGCTGAACATTGATGTTTCCAGGCCAGGCATCCAATGGAAAGTTCTCCATCCCCAGAGCAGGGCAGTAACTCACATCTCTGACAGACTGATGGTGGCAAAAAAAACCCATGATCTGGAAATTGGTGTCCTGATGAAGCAAGCAACTTCAGCTGGGAGGTTTGTTATTCCTGCAGCCCACGCTCCTAAAGCTTCAGTCTTATGTGCGAGATTCCATCTGGGACCGTGCCCAACTTTGCAGAGGATGGACAGCAAAGCTCTGTTTGGCTCACATGATCTCCCCAACATTACCTTCCTCTGTGGCTTTGGAGACTCACCAGTAAAAGGAAGGTGGAAAGTTACCATGGTAACCAGCTAAAAATCCAAACAAAAATGGAAAAAAAGTAAAAAATAAAGCGAGTGGAGGTAAATTATTACCATGATATTCACTTTGGCCCCTGGTTTATTAGCAAAGCCTTGTTAGCAAGACATTGAAGCAGACATTGCACGGATCCGTGTGCCCAGAAATTATTTCCCAAGCTCAATGAGACTAAAGCACCCCTGCAGCAGCACCCTGCTTGGTGTGCAAACCCCAAACTGCAGGGTTCTCATCAGCCTCCCTTGGCTGAGTTGTGCACCGCGTTTGTTTGCTAACAGCCAACCACTGCGGTCCTACTGGAGAAGCAGCACCGCTTTTCCCATCACCTAAATCAGCTTCTAATGGGCCGAGTTTAATTAGGCAGGGAATCCTGTAACCAAACACCTATCATCCCATAGTCAGAGCCAACACAGCATGCATCAAACCCAATGGAAAAGGAATTTGAGCCCGCAGGAAGGCCAGGGTGGTGCAGTTGAGACCTCCTCACGTTCTGGCCATTGAGTGCTGCACACCGATTTCTTTGTCTCCCACTCTTTCTGTGTTTCTGCTGCACAGCTTGTCAACTCAAGGCATAAAAAGCAAGATTCACGTAATGTAATCCAGCCTGCTCCATGCATATTGAAATCAAGGTTAATATTTCATATCCAGGAGCGTTGCCTGGTTTATAGACAAACGTGGACATATTTTGGATAAGTGCAGGGGATGTTGGCTGTACCTGGCTGTTTAGAAAAATGACTGCTTTCAAACACTTCATCAGATGAGGTTCACAGCTATTAAACCCTTTGCTTCCATGAGAGCAGCGGGTCAATGGATGAAACTGAATGAAAAGTGCAAGTTCAGTGTCAGAAAGACAGACACAGAAAGGGAGAAGCTGGCAGAGGCTGATTGCCAATCCTTCCAAGAGGCAAAGTGCAAACCTGGGGGGTCATGCAGGTGATGCCCAGCTGCCCCTGGACACCACACAGTGTGTGACTTTGCCTCCAGAAGGACCAACATTTCCCTTATCAAGTACAGAAAGAAGGTTGGCAAGGAAAGCAGCCACAAGCCCCATCTGCAGCCTTGCAGACGTTCAGCCTGAATGAAAACCAAGCAGTGGCTGAATGGAGCAGGCAGACCCTTGGCTGATTGCACTGACAAAGCACAAAGTGCCTTTTGTTGTTGCTTTCCCAAGGCTGCAGCAACCATCAGTAACAGGACCACGTGTGACGGAGCAAAAACGTTGTCAATGTCTGCAATCACCCACTTACAAATGCATCGCAGCCTTTTCTACCTGCCAGACCAGGCATGAATAAAACAGCATTTTACTTTCCTTAAAAAGACTCCAGCAGCACAGTGACCGAGCAAAAACCCACCCTAAGCAACATCTAACCCTGCCTTGAGTTGCTGCAGGTTTGCAGCAAGCTGAAAAAAAATATATTAATAATCATAAAGTAAGTGGAAAAAAAAATCACAAAGCAAAAGCAGCGCGCTGAGGAGCTGCAGAGTGTGAAGCAAAAGCTTCACGAAGGAAAAATAGCCTTAAAATAACCCTCAGCTGCCAATTTATCTTGCTCAAGTTGTCTGGCAAAGGGAAAAGATTCTCAGTTGTCATTAAATTAACACTTGCTGCAGTCAGCTGCCCCTAACGAAGCTCGTCGCTTTGCATACACCTGCAGCTGCGCCTTCCCAGGTAGCCTCCAAGTCTTTCTGCCATCTCCGTGTGTCAGGTGGGATGTCTTGCTGCAAAGTTTGCTCTCCCAGAAGCTTAAAGATCACCTGAAATCCTCGGTTGATGCACAGCAAGCACTTCTAGACGTGGGATGGATTGACAGAGGAGTGCAAAGCTGAAAGTGTTTCATTTCCAGATCACGGGCATCACGCAGCCATCTCCAATTAAACACACCCACACCAGGGCAGAAAGGATTGCCATGGGTCAGGGATGGGTGGGTATTTCTGGAAGGTTGGATGCCTCGGGGTGAATAAACCATGCAGGGATCCAGCCCGTGCAAAGTGCCTGCAGCCGTGGATGGAGGCAGAGCATTGCTCCGTGCTGCTGAGCTCTCAGCACTCTTGTGGCCACAAGAGGCTGAAATTTGCCTGAGTGTGACACGAATGGCACTTGGGATGGTAAAGGAAAGCTCTGTTTGCCAGGGATGTGGAAGGGAAAAGATGCAGCCACAAGGATGGGAAAGAGCTCCTGGAGCCATACAGAATAGAACCATAGAACCACGAGGGGTGGAAAGGACCTCCAAGACCACTCAGTCCAACCATCCACCCATCTCTAGTATTTCCCTCAGTAATGTCAAGGCCCATCTAAATGCCTCCTGAACACCTGCAGGGATGGTGACTCCATACCCATTCCAGCTCTCTTTCAGAGCTTTTCCTAACGTCCAACCTGAGATACGAGAGTCTCAGTCTCAATTTAATACAAACACCCTCATGGAATGTTTTATCCTTGTTGTGAGCACTCTCAATCCTCCCCTTGGAATGGGCCTGTTATGCATTCGCACAAATATGTCACCATATCTTATTTTTGTCCATGTCTGTAGTTGCTTCCCAAGGGAAGGAGCTCAGTCAGCCCACTGAAACCTACACAGGAAAAGGGTTGGGATCTGCTAACACCAACAGCAGGTTGGCAAGGGATGGAAAGCCTGGATTCGTTGCCAAGATTAAAAGAAACTCATGCAATTTACCTTCTCTTTTTGTGAATCACAACCTGGGAGGGGGGAGGTGGGGTCACACACACAGGAGTCTGCAGCAAAGCAATCCTTTGGTTTTGGACATCTGGAGAGGGAAGTGGTTATTCCTTCTGAGACTTTGCAGAGCACCTTCTTCTATAGGAAAACAGCAATAACCCCTTCTGTCACTGTGGCCTGGGATGCTGCTTCATGCAAACAGTGGTGTTTTAGTTACAGGACATGCAATTTGCCTCTCCTGCCCCTCTGCCCATCCACCTCACTGGGTTTCATACATGCATTTGCCAAGCTTCGAGTTGAAATACACATTTCCTCCATGCTTCACCATCTGAATGACCAAGAAACCTGTTTTCAACTCCCAGTGGGCTGGCAGCCTTGTAAATAATTGGCTGGGACGACCAAAGAGCCCCAAGCACACAGCATGGTCCACCCAACAGATACACAGCCCTGCCTGCACCCTGTCCCATAGATGCCAGCTCTCCAAATATGCCCCTCTCTGCTCCCCACGCCTATCAGAAAAGCATTTCTTTCCCTCATTTGGGTTTTTACAGACTTTCAGCCTCTATCAAATTGCCATCACCTCCATCTTCATAAAAGTCCTGTGACCTGGAACTAGAACAGGTTGCCCTAGGAGGTTGTGGAATGCCATGGAGGCATTCGAGGCCAAGCTGGATGTGGCTCTGGGCAGCCTGCTCTGGTGGTTGGCAACCCTGCACACAGCAGGGGATTGGAACCAGATGAGCACTGTGGTCCGTTTCAACCCAATGCCATCCTATGATTCTACAACCCTCCACTCCCATTCTGAGACCAAGACAGATGTTGCAGTGCACCAGGCAGAGCTACAACACACTCATGCCCCCCCCCCCCCCAAAAAAAAAACAACACACAAAAGGAGGGTTTTATGAAGGCCCACTAATTCACTGCAAGGATAGCTGTTGTTATTGCAGTTGATGATACAGGGATGAGATTAAAAAGAAAGAAACCTGCACAAGAAACATGTCAGAGCAAGCACCAAGTAAAAGAACACAACGTGCTGGGAGTTTGCTGGTGATGCTCAACATAAGAGCTCTGGGAAGAATAAAGCATGCCTTTTGTTGCTTGCAAAACCATCCCCAACCACTCCTAGAATGACAGCAAATGGAGACACAGCAAGAAATTGAATGTGAAAGTGGAAATAATCAGTGTGGCAAAGGAATCATTCACTCCTGCAGGGCTCCAGCTCCCTCGTTTCCTCCGGAGTCAAACCTGGGCCAAGCAAATCCCCACTGGAAGCACAATGCAGTGATTAAAGAGCCCCAATCAAGTGGTGACTAACCCTTAAAGAAGGAGATCAGCCACTACTGCCTGCAGAAAGTTCCTCTTGTTGCCCTGGGGTTCCTGCTTTGTCTCAGTCAAATGAAATGATAATGATTGCAATAATGATAATTCAAAAAAAAAAAAAAAAAAAAAAAGGATTCAAAGGAGAACTAATTAAGAAGGCTGGGAGGCCCTTGCAAAGCTTTTTCTGACTATATATTTTCCTGGGATTTGTTGTGTTGGAACGTCTGCAGATCTGCCCCACTGCTGAGAGTGCAGCGGATGAGCCCAAATCACAGAGCA